GGAAGGAAGGAAGGAAGGAAGGAAGGAAGGAAGGAAGGAAGGAAGGAAGGAAGGAAGGAAGGAAGGAAGGAAGGAAGGAAGGAAAGTAGCTATAGCATGTAGACTTATATACCACTTCACAGTGAGTTACAGCCCCCTCTAAGCAATTTATAGTGTCAGCATCTTTCCCTTAACAATCTGGCTCCTCATTTTACCAACCTCAAAAGGTTTAATTAGGGCATCCATCGGAACTCTGACATGAAGGCTGAGTCAACCATGAGCCGGTCAGGATTGAACAACTGAACTGCTGGCAGCTGGAAGTTAGCAGAAATAGCCTGCAGTACTGCATTCTAACCACTGTGCCACCACAGCTCTTGATCACATGACCCCGGGACAATGCAATTGTCATAAATATGAGTCAGTCGCCAAGCATCTGAATTTTGATCATATGACCAGGGGGATACTCCAATGGTTGTAAGTGTGAAAAATGGTCATAAGCCACTTTTTTTCATAAGTAACTTTAAATGATCACTAAACCAAGTGTTATAGGTTGAGAAGTACCCGTAAGTCTGGATTGCAGCTAAGATTAGAAATCTAATTTATAAATATTGGCATTCCCATATTAGGTCTAAGTTGCAAGTGCTGGTGCTTGGGTTGATTTCCTTCAAAATTTCCCTTCGTGACGTAAAATGCTGGCGTGCAAACCAGGAATTTTCTCAGGAGATAGCAGAGAATTGCCTTTGACCTGCTTCTTTCTTTTGAACGCTCATAATTCCCATTGCCCAGACAACAATTGTCTGGATTCTAGATGTCTCCAAATGTTGTGACCCAATTCTTTGCTTGCACAAATCGAACATTAAGCATGACATGAGCATTCTAGAAAAATCTATGTACAAATAAGCATGGAAGGGCTTTAAAAAACAACAACAATAGTTCAGAAGGACAAACTGGAAAACGTGGTTAAAATGGCCTTAGCATGAAATAGGTGGGAAATTAAATTCGGAAAGCAGATCAGAGAGGAAGTAATTTCTACATTCCTTGGACTTAATAAACCGTTAGAGCATTCCCATGGTCACTTGATCAAAATTTGGGCATTGCAAACTGGCGTGTGTTCATGACAGTTGCAGAGCCTTGGGGGTCATGTGTTTATGATTTGCAGACTTCCAGAGAAGCTTCTAGCAAGCAAGGCCAACAGGGAACCTCGATTCATGTTAATGACCACATGCTTGTTTAACGACTACAATCGTTCACTTAATGGGTGCAGTGATTACTTAATGATGGCAAAAAGGCTTGCAACTTTGGGTGTGACTCACATGATGACCACTTCTGCTCCCAGTTGTGGTTGTAAGTCGAGGAACTACCTGTACATCCAGGAACTCATCCTCCATCAAGAGTTTCTGCTGAATTTAACAGTGCTAGAAGGGAGTGGGAGAGGAGGAGGAAGAGGAGGAAGAGGAGGAGGAAGACTGTAGGATCCTTGTTGCTCTCTGAGCTTGGTTCTTTTCTTGCAGACGTTTCATTACCCAAACTAGGTAACATCATCAGTGCTAGAAGGGAGTGGGAGAGGAAGAGGAAGAGGAGTACTACTATAGGGTCCTTGGTGCTCTCTGAGCTTGGCTCTTTTATTATCCAAACTAGCCTTCAAATGTGAAGCTCCTTCAAATTTGGTGATCCTGGAATTGCACCCCTAAAAGCAGCTTTGCACAATTTTACACAAAGCACAAGCAGCTTCGTTGGGTCTGTAAGCTATTTGCGTATCTACTTCGAGTGATTTTAGTTCATACTTACTGTTTCCTTCTGCATTCAATTGCTCTGTCTATTCTGAACTCAGGTAAACTGATAAATCCTTCTGCCTTTTCATCCTGTGATTGGAGGAATGAGAAAATACCGCTGAGACAGAATCAAGGTTGGCAGAGAATGTCCCATATCTCCCTTCTATCACAGATAATTAGGTTGCCAGATCACTGAGCATGCTATAGCTGGTGCCAATTCTGTTTGTAGATGGCCTTTAAATCCTAAGCACTTTCAGAAGAAAAGGTTAATTTTCTGTCTATTAATAACCACATAATGCTCAGGAATATGGAACTATAATTGCATTCAGTTCCATGTAAGGTATATGATTTTTTTTGAAGCCGGTTTAATGTTACTTTCTGCAAGCCTGGGCCACAATCGAAACCAGAATTAAAGGCACTTGAGCTCACTGATTTATAGCTCTGATGTGAAGACAAATCTGCCGTTGTCTTTTATGAATCAGAAAAAAGCTCTATGGAAACCTTTGAATTGTTTTCTGACTGAGAAAAACTCCCAAATTATTTTGTGATTTTATGTGGTATAGATAGAAATAAAAAATTAGGCTTAAAATAAGCCTAGTTTAATTTAAAAGAAGTTTACTTTCAAATTGTTTGAACTGTGAAATTCACATTTGGGTTGGCACAAATTCACAATTTATGCTTAGCACCCCTGGTTTCCAGATTATAATGGATCTCCTCCCTCACTCTCTCCGTCCGTCCCTCCCTCCCTCCATCCCTCCCTCCCTCCCTCATCTATCTGTCTGTCTGTCGGTCTATCTGTCTATCTCTTAGTCTATCCATCCATATCTATCTATCTATCTATCTATCTATCTATCTATCTATCTATCTATCTATCTATCTATCTTAGCGCATCCATGCAAATCCATCCATCCGTCCGTCCATCCGTCTGTCTATCTTAGTCCATCCATCCATATCCATCCATCCATCCATCCATCCATCTATCCATCCATCTATCTATCTTAGCCCATCCATGCATATCCATCCATCTGTCTGTCTCTTAGTCCATCCATCCATATCCATTCATATCCATCCATATCTATCTATCTATCTATCTATCTATCTATCTATCTATCTATCTAT